CCCCCAGAGGTAGGTAGACCCCGCTGACCTCAACAGGCCGCTAGGGTAGCCCAGGGCGGTCTCATCAGTGCAGCGCATGCTCCAGCAGCGCCCCCCCCCCACCACCCCCGCCCCCGGGCAATCCGCGCCCTGGAGTTGGGATGTTGAGATCGCCCTCCTGGACTCCCCCCTGGGGAGGAGGGGAGGAGCCTGTTGAGACCAGCGCTCAACTACCTCTGGCTGCCGTCTGTGCACAACCCTGAGCCGTGCACGGGGAGGCAAGACCATGTCCATTGGATGTGGGACCCTCGCGAGTCCTGCCGCCCTCTGCACCGGGACCAGGGCTGCTTCGCGCTCCAACGGGAAGCAGCACACCTTGCCAGTCAGTCCCGCGCACTCGGCCATCAAGTCCAAGGACGTCAAGGAGCACTGGGGCCCGAACCAGCCCACAAAGTCGACTAGCCGGCTTTGGGGGTCCACCCGACAGACCAGCTACGGCGGCGAGGAGCGTCCAGACGAGCAGCCCGACCATTGGCTCCATGGTGACTACTGGAACGTGGACAGCAACATTCGCAAATGGACCACGCACCAGGTGAAGAGAAACATGGCCTCTGCGAACCACGACGTGCACCGGCAAGACCAGGTCAGGCGCATCCTGATGACGCCTCACCCGCACCACAGCGCGAAGCACCAGCGCATACCAGTGCGGCAGTGCGTCAGCGGTGTGGTGTCCCCGGACTGCTGCTTCCTGGAGACCTGGGGGTTTGACCTCGGGATGAGGGACAGGCAGGGCGTACCGATCACCTCCAAGATCTGGAGGCCCCCGGGCGGCGGCGCCGCCCCCGAGCACTTCCGCTCGCTGCGGAGCTACGACCGGAACGTGGAGAGGATGACCGAGAGCTTTAGGAGCCTTCGCAAGGCCGCCTCTCTCAGCAGCCTGGCCCGAGTCAACGCGGAGCACTTCGAGATCAACACCCTGCTGAAGCCCGAGGACATCAGCGGCGACGAGGGCGTCGGCGGGGGGGTGTTCCAGGAGCAGCCGGTGGAGAGCAGGGGCGTGAACCACGGCACGCGCTGCTGCTACGGCTGGGACGACCACGGCCACGCGGTCCGCCGGGAGGGGGCGAAGATGTCGCACAGCATCCACTCCCACGCCGTGCGGGCTCACAGCGACTTCCCCTACATCGACGGCCGGCTGGCGCCGGCGTCTATCTACCGCCGCAACCACGGCAGCAGCCAGGCGGAGGCCTGAGGCCATCGACGGCCGTCTGCCGCCGGCGCCTACCTACCGCCGCAGCCACGGCATCCGCCAGGCGGAGGCCTGAGGCCACCGCCGACGTGTACCAGTAACGCACCGCCGCGACCTTTTTTGTTGCACCGCCGCGGCCGGGCAGAGGCCCGAGGCCCTGCCTCCCCGGTCGACGGGGCGAAGCGCCGCGGCCCAGACTGCCGCTCGGGCGCTCCCTGCGCGGGGGCTCTCTCCGAGGGCGTCTCCGTGCGCGCGGCGAGCTCCGCGGTGGAGGCCAGGAAAATGCGCGCGGCCGAGCAGTCATTGGTCATGTTCAGCTTCTCGACACCTCTTTCGGGCTCCGGGGCCGTCAGCAAAGACGCCCCCCCGGGAAGCCAAGTCGCGACGCTGGAGCCCCTGGTTAAACCAAGTCGCGACGCTGGAGGGCTGGGAGGAGGACGAGCACACAGGCCTCCAACGTGCCGATGCCTATCACGACAGGGCCTCCTGCGGCTCTCCCGGCCCCATCCCCAGGACGTGTTTGACCGCGAGTAGTGCTTTGCACGTCCCACGGCCTTCAGAAACAGTTCCCCGGGGACAGCAACAGATGTACATGTACACGGTCAGTGTCCGCATGCCTCCGCTTGGACTCGGTCGCTCGTGCACGCGCGATCGCGCAGGGCGTACCGGAGCAGGGCGTCTGCTGTGGGCTGCTCAGGTTCCTGGAGGCGTCGCAAAACTCATACGAGCACGCGGTGTCTTGCGCTTGCCACTCCTCGAGGCCTCGTCCGCCTCGTTCCCCTGCCCCCCCTCCCCCCCCCGCAGGAGTCCGCCAAGGGAGGCTCCAGGGCGTTCGACATCATGGGCTTCCAGGAGTGCGAGGACCTCCCCCCCTGCTCCGCTGGGCGGGTCTGAGGAGGAAGAGGAGGAGGAAGATGAGGAGGAGGCGGAGGAGGAATGGGAAGGGTCGGACGAGGAGGAGGAGGAGGAGGAGGAGGAGCAGCAGCAGCAGGAGGAGGAGGAGGAGGAGGAAGCCTCTGCTCCCCTGAGGCTCGAGGGAGGGGGGCCCGCGTGCCCGCATCCGAGAGACCTTCCCCCCCCCTCTTCCGCCGTTCCCCTGATTCTCCCGCTCCTCCTGCTCCTGCTGCCGCTGCTGTCTCTCCTCCTCCTGCTGCTGCTGCTGCTGCTGCTCCTCCTCCTCCTCCTCCCTCCTCCTCCTCCTCCTCCTCCTGGTGCATCCTTCATTATGCTCCTCCTCCTCCTCCCTCCTCCTCCTTCTTCTCCTCCTCCCCC